GATGGTTGGTTCGAGCCCATGATCGAAAACCGGTTATTATATAAACTATATTATGTGACCTTCACCTCTTCCAAGCCACGACAATATCAAATTTGCATGAAGTTGTGAAGATAGTACACGGGAATCTCATGTTAAACATTTGGTTCTACAATTATAAATAATGTAAGTAATTCATTTATTTGATTCATTTTAGGTTTTTAAGTCAATTATGTCGAGATAAGAGGAATGTTTGTATATGTGGATTTCTTGTGCCTTGATCTATACAAAAATCAAGGAAAAATACGAAGATGCCTAAAGTTACATTAAGAGATGGATGCATGACTAAAAGAATATATTTACCTAACTCTTTATATCAATGCATAAGTACAAAATTAACAAGTTCAAATAATTAATATCCATTTCTAACAAATTATTTTTCTCCATTGCAGTTCCCATTGACAACTCATATATAGTCATTATTCTTAGGGAAGATGCTATTGTGTTGTTTTGTTTCTTGCATAGCAAAGAGACCGATTAAAATGAAGTACTATTATATAGGGTAAATTTTAATTTCTTACATGCACTTGATTTTTGCAATGTAATATACATTCTCATCTTTTAATAAATTTCTTTTAACTAGTGTTGTGGCCACTTGAAAGAGGAATGAGCCTTACTTGGATTTATCCCAAAGTAAGTAATTTAAACCTCTAATTACATATTTTATTAGTTTCTTTATCATGTTTGTCATATATTTAATATTAATTTTTATTATAATGCAATAAACATGAAGATAATATTAAGTGTTAATTTTACTTAAATGATTGAACTCTTTTGACACTTATTTAACTAGTTTTAAAAGAAAATTTTATTTTTAACGCCTAAATATTATAAGAATATGCTCAACCGTTTGGAAGGGGTTGAGCGAATTGGTCATTTACAAGCCTAATCTATTTTATTTCTTGGACATATATAACAGATGAAGAGAGAGAAAATAAAGATTAAACAAAACAAAAACAGAGAAAAAATAGAGCACTAAAGAAGAGGAAAGCTTCAAGACCATTTGGGGACAGGGATCTTGGGTTCAATCTTTTCTTTTCTATGCTTTTATGTTAAATGGAGATTTCTCTAACAACCATGAGTATATAATTTTTACCTTATTGAGTGTAATCTATCAAACTCTTATGTAATCCTCTTGATTTATTTATATGATATTCTATTATTTAGTTTTAGTGGTTTGATTTTGTTCTTAATGCTTGAGGTGAGTTGATCACTCATCTTTTGATTTGTGATTTAGATTTAGATTGGAATATATTTTCTAAATCTGATTTGAATCAAATCATCTAATGAATCTAAAGCTTAGAAATAGATTTAGAGTCATTAGTTGAACAAATTCTTGAACTTAATTCAAGGATTTTGATTTGGTAAACTGAGGAATTGGTTATTGAATTAGGATCCTTAAAATTTCTAAATACAAGAAATTGATTTAAAATGACCTTAAAGAATTCAATAACATTAAGTGATATGAATCACATGTAGATAATCTTAGGAAAATAGATGAGTGAAATAGATGAAATTCAATCCCAACATTTTCTCCTACTATTATCTTTTCAAATTTACGTTTTCCTTTAACTACTTGTAGCTTACTATTTTAAAGTTGAAATGCAAAAGAATATATTCATATTCGACTATAAATCTTTCTATTACCAGTTTTAATTAGGATATTAGAAATTACAAAATATTTTTCTAGGCATTATGGATCGATAACCCATACTTCAATCTTATATTACAGTAAATTGATTTGCTTGCTAGAAAATCCTAATAAGTCTCTTGGCATCATTTTCAGGGACTTGTATCAAGATATTTGAGTAATTTCAATTTATCATTTATTAAAGCCTCTTTGTATTTAAGTTTTATATTTCCTAGTAATTAGATTTAGTATTTCTATTGCTTTATGTGCTAATTTCTTTGTATTCTATCTTGTATATGAGGTTAAACTCCAACTAAGCAATTACTCTTTGATCCTAAAATAGAGAAAATGGCTAGGAGAAAAAATAATAATACAAGAGGAAGAAAAAAAAACTAGAGAAATAAAGGAAACAATAGGAAGGTTCAATTAACTCAGCTTCTTCCTCAATCCAATCAAAGTCTAAACCAAACATGGTTGATCAAGGAGGAAATTTAGGGAATCTAGCCAACCAAGGAAACCAAAGAAGAACTTTAAGGGATTATGCACAACAATAAGCTCCCTAACATTTCCAGCATAATAGCTCCAATAACCTCAAGAAAATGGAAATGAAACCTTCCTTCCTCAGTTTAGTCAATGCACATTAGTTTGTAGGATTGAACCATGAGGATCCATATGCACATCTTTCAAATTTTTATGATTTATGTGGTGGCATGGGAAATCCTGAAGGTGATGAGGAAGCAATTTAATTATCTCCATTCATTTCCTTTTTTATTTGACAAGTAAGGTAAAAAAATTGGTTGCAATCCCATCCTAATCAGAGTCTTACCACTTGGAACGATGTGGAGAACAAATTTGTGAATAGATTTTATCCATCCTCAAAGTATATCATTGCTAAATTGGATATTACTACTATCCGCCAAGGGATGGGTGGACCCTTTTGTGAGGCGTGGGAACGATTCAAATCTCTTATAAGAAAATGTCTAAATCATGGCTTTGAGGATATTGCTCAACTGATTTCTTCTACAATGGAGTAAAGTCAAATGTCAAGATGCTCCTAGATACAACTGCAACAAGTATCATGATGACTACTGACCTTGATAAGGCTACTAACATTATTGAATCTCTTGCCCTTTTATCAACAGGAAAAATAAAGTAGACACAACCATCCAAGGAGAAGTGTTCTTGATCTTTACACAAATGATGCAATCCTAGCACAATATAAGTTGCTATCTTCTAATAGATTCATGCTCTAACAATATAGATGGCAAAACTTCCTCAACAACTTCATGTTATTAGCTCAACTCATGCAACAAGTTCTAAAATACGATTTATATGGTGGAAGCAATCCTAATGGTTTTTGTTCAATACCTCTTGTCAAGGGGAAAAAGCACTACAAGAAAAATGTTAATTTTCGACAGAAATTTATGACGGAAAGGTAAATTTTTGACTGATTTTCTTTTTTCCAAAGGATTTAAATCCATCGGAAAAAGTGGCGTCGGAAAAAAAATCCTTCAAAAATAATTTAATCTATCGGAAATTTCTGATGGAAAATTTTGTCGAAAAATTTCGACGAAAAATTCCGTCGAAAAATTCCGTCAGAAATTTCCAACAAAATTTTCTGTCAGAAATTATTTTTTTTTATTTTAATAAATTTATTAATGTAACAGTCCTCATATTTGGCCTCTTAAGGGTTCTATTTCACGAATTTCTGGGAAACTTCCCAGAAGGTCACCCATCCCTATACTACTCCAACTGCGAAGTTCTAATGAGTAAGCTACCGAAATGTATATGTATGTCGTTAGTATAACTTGTACAAATTAATTCATTTAAGTCATTCTCAAATATAAAATCTCATACTTGTACTGTCATAATAATATATAATAATTTTTATATTACGAATAATAATAATAATAATATATTCAATTATTCTTTATTTATATGTACTTACTTTTATAATTAACATCTACTTATTTTTATTTAAAATTATAATTTAAATTATTTAATTTTATAATTTATAATGATAATATAATTTATAAAATTATAAATATTTATTTATTACATACTTATAAATTAAATTTTAATATTTTAAATAAATTATTAATTAATTTAATATATTTATTTACCTTAAATCAAACATATAAAATTAAAAAAATGTATTTATCCTTGTTTTTTTTTCTAATTATCAACTATTAATAAAATACTAACTTAAAATCTTATCTAATTATATATAATATTCTCATATCAAATTTAAAACCAGATATTAGTTATACAAAAATATTAAGATCATATAGTAAATTGTCAATAAGATTTTAGTTAAATAATTTAAAATAATTTATTAATTAGCAAATAATTTATTCCAGAGCTAATTAAATTTTTTTATATTAATTATTAGTAAAATTTAATAACTTTTAATTTAACAATTAATTGGATCGATGAAATTCAACACACACCATGAGTTATTGAGCGGAATAACTTTACCAAGAGTTATTTTGTAAGTTATCTTAAATCAAACATATAAAATTTAAAAAATGTATTTATCCTTGTTTTATTTTCTAATTATCAACCATTAATAAAATATTAACTTAAAATCTTATCTAATTATATCATAATATTTTCATATCAAATTTAAAACCAGTTCTTACATTTTCGACAAATATAAATTTGTCGGAAATATTCCATCAATAATATAGTTTTTCCTACAAAAAAATTTTTCATCGAAAATATAAATTTTCTGACAGATTTAGTTTTGTTTTATACGAAATCATCTTCAATTAATATAACATTTTGTATATATGATTTCAGAGTAAAGAATTTTCAATTTAACGGTTAGATTTACAAAATTCACATTTTATATAAAGTTATTGAGCGGTGTAATACTTAGTAAAATATTTATGTTAAATAAACTAATATAAGCACTAATTATTTAATAGAAAACTCATGAAACACACAAATATGAAAATATTCACACTTGAACCTTCTTACTATAATTTTAAAGACAATATACTAACATCTCTAAGTATTTTATAAATATTTAAAAATAAATATTGTTTATTTAAAACAATTGTTAAGATCGAAAATATTAATTTTAGAATGTTTAAATATATTTTAGTCCCTATAAGATGGGTGATTTTGATTTTGGTCTTTGTAAATTTTTTCTTTATTTTTCATCCTTGTAGGATTTATAAAGATTGTTTCGTACTTGTAAAATGAGTAAAATATTTTTCTTTGATTTTCATCCCTCTAAAATATAAATTCACTAGTTTGGTTATTTTAAGGTAGATAAATAATACTTATTTTAAAAAACAAAAAAAAATTAGAGATGTTAAATATCAATATGATAATAATACGTAATTGTTGTAGGTGACACCTAAGATAATTATTTATCTTTTTTTAAAAAAATAAAAATTAGTTAAAAATGATTACATAAAAAATAAGAATTAAAAATAAAATTTCTAATTTTAGAAAATGAAAAACAATTTTTATTTTTACAGAAAATAAAATCAAAACTTATTAATTTTATAAGAATTAAAGACATATTTAAGTCATTTTAAAATGATAAAATTAAAGAAAAATATTTTTAAAAAAATAAAAATAAAATTTATTCATTTTATAATATTAAAATATATTAATAAATTTTAAAAAAAGCGATCATCAAATTTCCGAAGAGTTCAAACAAGGGACATCAGGAAGTGTGCTATGGTCTTAAATTTTTCGACGGATTCATATTTTCGTCAGAAATTTCTGACAGAAATATAAATCCGTCAGAAATTTCTGACGGAAGATTCCGTCAGAAATTTTTCGTTGAAAATTTCTGACAGATTTATAATTTCGTCAGAAAATTTTGACGAAAAATTTTGACGGAAATATAAATCCGTCAGAAATTTTCCGTCAGAAAATTTATATTTTCCAACAGATTCATATCCGTCGATGATTTTTCTTCAAAAATTTGCGTTTTTCTTATAGTTAAGTAAACTACATGAGAAATCAACAAAGAGGGGATAATTTTAATAATTCTTCTAACAATTATATGCAGGGATGGAAAAAAATAACAACAATTAAGGCTATGCTAGAAACAAGATGTGAGAGCCCCAATAGTCAATCACCTCAACAACTACAACAATGTCATTATTCTTCTTCTTCTTCTTTTTTTTTTTTTTGAAAAAGGTAGATTTGTTATAGCATCACTATGCGAAGGGGAGTCCTAACTAGGTTAGTGCTGAGATTTCCGTTGAAACACTTTTGTTAATATTTGTAAATTCGTTTAATTCTATCAACGGTCTCAAACACGACAAGTATACCGGCCGTTCCAGGAGTAAAAATATCGTATCCACAGGGATTAGAAGGTAAAATAAGCATTTATTGACTATTCGTGACTAAAGAATAATTCCAATTTGTAGTTTGTCATGTGAATGTGAATTAAAGATCATGACTACTGTTATG